TGGTAGTAGTAGTAGGAAGATGAGGTGGTGATGCTTGAGGAGAAGGAGAGAATGACCAGGGGGAGAGGAGATTCTCTGGGCTTCCTGTCTTGTTTTTCTTTTAAATAGATGCTCGCATGGGGAGCCGAACCTACTGGAAAACGGGTCCAGCGTCCCACAAATAACATCAGAAAATTAAACCCAGCACAACATTACCTTCGAGTTTCCTCGACCCAGCCAGCCAATAACACGCCAGCTTTCGGCTGAAAGCACTCATTGATCACTTCAAGTTCCCTGGGAAGGATGGACTGCCAGCCTAGACATATTCTGCAGATGGGGATGGGAGGCGCGGGGTGGAGAGAGAGCCCGGCTCCGTAGGATCTCCAGGCAGAGGCGGACAAGTGGTGGCCACCGCAGGCTCAATGTTCCAATGGACCTTCGTAAATCTCCACCCTTCTATATCTCTGTGCGGTTTTCTCCCTGCTCCTCATCGTCTCCCAATCCTCCTCCAAACTCTAAACGCCTTGGCGGTGTTGCACAATTATCCGTACCCTACTAACTACTAAGTGCGCGCTCCCTTCCTCTCGGCCCGATTAGATCAGGCCTAAATTGAAAAAGGCCGCGATGATGATGAGCCTTGACTGCCAGTCGCACTCCAATCTAATCAGACCACTTCGTCGTACCTGCGTACGGTGTACCACGGGTAGACGTTGCTCTCCTTCCACCAGTCCATGTCCCGGAGCAACACCGTACGACCCCACATCCGAGGGACRATGTAATAGCCCATGGTCACGACCTGCCTGTTGCCCACGTACAAGGCCGAATGCATATGSGGCCATCCTGCAATTGACCAGTAAATCACAATGTCTCCCGGTTGAATCTCCGCATTGGGAATGAGCCGCCCTGTTGTGTCTGTCATAATCTGGCCAGAACACTTGCCCCAGTTGCAGTTCCTGACRAAGTCCGGTCCATTGCCGTACGCCGTCCAGAACATCCATGCGATAAACGAATTGGCATCCCCGTACGCGGGTAGCTTAGGCGGGCATGTTTTGTGGGTAATGCCGTACCAGATGTAGTCCGCCGACTTCTGYGTGTAGATCATTTCCTTACCCACCAAGGACCTCGCTAAGGCAACGATCCCAGCGCGCGATTTCTTCACCCCGGCGCACGGCGCTGGTTGAGACGGCCCACGACCTGCATAACAACGGCGTCCAGAACGGCGATCATCGTATGAAGCAGCTAGCAGGACGAAAGAAAGACAAGCGAAACCGAAAAAGCGTGTGTTTGTGTGGGGTGGGGAGGAGGCATGGGAGAGGCAAGGGGGGGAAAATTGAGCATGTGCGTGTGCGTGTGCGTGTGCGTCCGTGTGTGCGTGTGCGAGTGTGCGAGTGTGCGAGTGTGCGGGTGTGCGAGTCCTTGTGCGAACGGGCCTGTTTATGTCCATGTGTGAAAGTGTGCATGTTCGTGTCAAATTGTGTGCATGTGTTGAGTGTCTGCGTGCCTGTGTGCACGAGTGCGAGTACGAGTGTTTGTGTGTGCATGTGTTCGCACGTGTGTGTCTGTGTGTGTGTGTGTGTGTGTGTGAGAGAGAGAGAGAGAAAGAGAGAAAGAGAGAGAGCCAGACCGAGAGAGCGAGGGAGGTGGGGTGAGTTTCATAATGAGAGATTGCAGTGGCAGAGGTAGGAACAGAAGGATGGAAAAGCTGCTGCAATGCATACATCAGAGTTTCATGAGGATGCAATAACCAGGCAACAAAAAAGAAAAGCATACATCAGAGTTTCATGAGGATGCAATAACCAGGCAACAAAAAAGAAAAAAAAGGAAGGAAAACGAAGTTCCTTTGACGCCAAAAGGAGTACAGGCGAATGGGCACAAGATTACGCGAGCCAGAAAGCCTACGAGTCTGTTTGTGGGCGCAGTCTTCCAGTCCGGCACCCAGCCCCGTCCATGCTTTTTGGCCGTCCGATGAATCTCCTCAGGGCCTCACTGTACCCGCTTACGAATCTGGCGCTGTTTTCGCGCCTTGTTCATGATGCTCTCGTGCCCAATGCCATTGCACGACGGGGCTAAGTGCCCAACCGGAAGAATCTGGGTGTAAGCAGCTCAATAGCTTTCCCCGTTTTCCCTAGGCTTTTCCTCGCCAAACAACAGAAAAAACGATGTTTACAAAACAATATAAAAAGACGCCGCTGACAGCTTCAGAGAATCAGAGTAAAGCACCCACCACGGGCCACCAGACCAGATGCCAATACGAACTTTCCGTTAACAAACGCCAGGATGACACATGCGGCAGGAACGTTGTTGGGGAACTACCGTCTTCCCCGACACAGAACATGCGGTCATTCTGACCGCAGATCGACTGAGGTAGAGACGGAGGTAAAACATACGCACGAGAGTTTGCAAGGTGGGAGCGAAAAAGCTAAAAATAGAATCAAGAAGATGAGACCCATGAGTACTAGCGAACAGGCTTAAAGCGGCGGCGGTGAACTGAATTTGAAATCCGATCGTTGAACACAGAGCTCCGTGTGAATACTGCCACAAGTTCTGTTCCAAAATAAGCGAAAAAAAAACACAAATAAAAGCCCATTTGGGTTGGGAAGGGGGAGGAGGGAAAGCATGTTCTTGGCCCGTCGGTCGGTGACTTCTGGGTTGCTTACCAGTTACGAGAGCTTGCCATGTAAACAGGTCAACGACTCCTGTCTGGGGCAGATCGTGCATGACCTGGAATTTCTTCACAGCCGCTTTAGTCCGCGGGCTAAACGTGCTGTCAATGTCCGTGGCACTCAGAAGGGCGTACTTTTTCGCCAACAGATACTGACACACACACACACACACACACACAATTATTTTTTGGGCGGCGGGAGAGAGAGAGAGAGAGAGAGAGAGAGAGAGAGAGAGAGAGAGAGAGCACAGCTGTGTCAAAAAACAAGACGGAAAACAAATAAAAATCTGTCGAGCGACGAACCACAGAGAGAAGAAGCCATCCCGTCACGCTTTCTTCTCACACAAGAAGCAACACGCATCGAGGAAATGGCAGCCGCAAATGTTCAGAGGGAAAGGGGAAAAAAACAAGGGACGCAACACACAGTAGGCCAGCCACCCTCGCTCCACCAAACACTTGCTTGTGTCTAAAAAATAAAAAGCATAGCAAACAGCGATTTCGTCAAAACGGACATTTTATACTTCTTTAACGAAATTGAGACCTAATTATTTTTTGGCCCAATAGATATCACCATTTATCTCTTGAGGATGTTGAGGTTCCATTTGGACTCAGCTGAAGTTCAGGTACATCCAAGGAGGACCCTAAGGAGCTAAAAACCAAATAGGCGGAATATGAAATGTCCGCTTTAACGAAATCGCTGTTAGCAAGCGAATGTCGGCCTGGCAAAAATATGCGAAATAATTTAAAAGCAACAGAACAGCAGGTGAGTGTTCCTCTCGCTCTCTATCCATCTTCCTGTTCCCGGTACAGCTTCCCCCTTTGAACCAGCGAGATCCTATAACAATACGCAAAGAGAACAGCAGTTATGCCTTCTTTTCATTAGTCCGCGTATATGGTTTTTTTTTTGTTTTTGAGGGGGGGGGGGAATGTAATTGTATTCACACGTTGCGGCTGCTAGGCCCTACCACGAGAAGAGTATAAAACCTAGAAAAAAGAGGAAACTGGTAGATAAGGCCCACGCAAAAACCTTTTTGGTTTCCCACGCCCAACCTTTTTGCGTTTGGCAAGGGAGGGCTATGAACACTGCAGTCCGTTGGATGTAAAAATCTGGCAGCCGAGATCTGGTCCCGACCGCTTGGCTTCTCCCTACCAGATTATGAACCTGGCCCTGTATTCCTACCAGATTCATTTCCGTGTAGACCGTCCTTGCCAAACGTGAAAACTTTGGGCGCGAAATGACCTGGGTGCCCTCCACCCCTCCGTCCGGGGGACTTGCAGGACATGCAAGGCGCAAGAGAGATTATAAAAACAAAACAAAAAAAAGACTGAAGCCGCCAAAGAGGCCAGAGAAAGTGAAGTGGTGGGTCGTTGCCCTTCCGCGGGACATCCCTTCAATTTGGAACGATACAGAGAGCAAGAGAAGATCAGCATGGTTTCTGCGCTTTCAACGATAACACGTTCATAAATCGAGAAATAGTCCGGATTACCTTTTAAAAAATCAATCAAGAAAGGGGAAAAAAAATGTTGTGGCCGGATTCGTGGTAGCTGGACAGCAGGGTATACATAGATTCATTGTACCTGGATGGTTCCTATGTATATGGTTTACTATACAATACACGTACTACACGATATTAAATTAATTTGTATGGGCCACGGAGGGATCGTACGGGTAAGATTGCTTACTCGACCCCTCCAGTGTTGCCTCTGTATTGCACTGCAGCAGAGTGCGGCGGAGCCCTTCAAAAAAAGCAAAAAAACAAACAAACAAACGAGTATAATACACGCACTATTAAAAACAAAACGACTAGTCAACATAGATCGACTCGATGTGCAGGTGTCCTTCGGGACATCCCTTACCATTGGAACGACAGAGAAGATAAGAATGGCCCCTGCGCACGAGCGCAAAAAAGGGAAACCAAAAAAAAAAAAAATCCGGTACGAGGTCAACCATTACCCAAAAGAAAAAGGTGGTTTTAGATAGCTTCGCTCTACCTGGACCGCATGTACCGCCATTCCACGGCCGCCACTCAAGGTGACGACCAGCCCCGGCCACGTCACTGCATCCACGATTCCGGTCACGGGTTGCTTGTTATTAGTCTGGTACCGTTTGACTGCCGCCTCCAGCTTGATGGTGAAAACATCACCTGGATCATTCCTCAGCTGGGACATGCATAAAAAACAAAAGGGAGAACGATGAAAAGGAAAAAAAGGTTTCAACATCGAGGCAGAACGACAGGCAAGAGAGCAAAAAAACAGCATGATAGTCACAGAAAGTAAAACCATGGCCATCGTCATCGTCAGTATACAGCGAACAGAACAAGGACAAAAAGAAAAGATAGGGTCCAACAAAGTTAAGCTGTCAAACAGAAAACCAATCGATGGTACAGACATACTGGACAATCAATCAATGGAGTAAACAGTCAATCAATGGAATAGACAATCAATCAATGGAATAAACAGTCAATCAATGACATGCGAGACAAGCAATCGACGAGAGAGAATGACTCAATCACACGGTTGAAATCTATTAATGACAATTAATCAACGCCGTACTACAATCAATGAGATACTAGACAATCAATCAGTGGAATGACATTCTAGACAATCAATCAATGACGCACGAGACAATCAGTAGATGACGGACGAGACGATGAATCATCAATGACATAGACAATAGATCAATGACATAGGAGACAATCAATCAAGGACGTGGGCAATCAATCAATGACACGTCTGTGAGGTATGAGGTGCGAAGCCATTCCAAGCGACCATCATCACCAGCATACCGAATGGGAAAAGTCAAAAGACCTCCCCGCGACGAAACCTTTGTAACCATTTCCCCCCACCCCAAACGGGGAAAAAGACGCCGCGGACCCCAAAATCACTTTCGGCGTCATTTTTGGCCCCTGCAAAACACTTTCCCGCCATTTTTACACAGCGGCCGTTACCGGCCGGGACAGGGTGCAAAAACGACACCATAAGTGATTTTGGGACCTGCGGCACTTCTTTTCCCGCTTGGGGCGAAACGGATACAAAAGTTTGTTCGCGGGGAGGTCAAATGCCTTTTCCCATTCCGGATCCTAAACAACAATGACGAAATAAGGGCAGCATCATACTCACACCATCACTTTTTCGGCCGAGCTCTGGGCGTATTTGCGGTCATATACATTGACGAATGGCTGTAATTATGGTCAGATACGTCCAGGAAGCTCCTCCTGTGACTATGCCCTAGGTAAGTGGGTGCAGATACCTACCTACCTACAACAGCGTCCACTCATCTACAATCTCGATCCCCGTATGGGCGGGTGGGGGGGGGGAAATCCCGATCCCCCTCCTCCAACCAATCACATCGCGTTTGCCATCGCCCTCTACACGGTTCCGCTGCACCACAAAAAATCGAAGGCCCCCTCGCCGACAAACACACACGGAGTCCTCAGGTCAAATGCGTCCTGGGCAGAGTCTGTGCCGGTTCAACCTCCTGCTCAATCTGTCAGGACGATGACGATGGCGATGGCGTACGTACACACGTACCTGTATCAAGTCCTTAAGGCACACAACGATAGGTCCATGATCCCCTTTTCGAACAACAGGCCAGGCAGAAGCGCAATGCAGCCCAGAGAGAAAGACCAGAAGCAAGCAGAGGCCGAGGCATGGCCTCATCAGCGCCATCTTCGCTCCTCAACAGAGGAGCTAACTAGCTATCTCACTCTCTCTCTCTCTCCCTCTCTCCAACAGCGACGTGTCTCGCAAGAGCAGCGCCACCCGGATCAGCATCAGCGATGAGAGTATCATCGACTGAGAGATCTTGGTTCTACAGAACTGCCCTCTCTTTTTATGATCGGCCCCACCGGTGTCCTGTGGTGTCTAAACTTGGGGCAAAAGAAAGAAAAAAGAAAGAAAAACAGAACTCTGTTTTCAAATATTGATCTGACACGCATAAATTTTTATTTATTTTTTTCTTTGTATATTGTCAAAAAATTGGACCATTTCTCGATTTATGCGTGTCATCCTTGCGCAGGGGCCATGCTAATCTTCTCTGTATCGTTCCAATTTTAACGGATGTCCCGAAGGACTGACACGCATAAATCGAGAAATGGTCCAAATATTGATCTGATTACGTCGGATTCGAACCTCGGCCTACATTCCAACAGTCCATAGACGTATCAACTGATCTACGCCCATTGGTCACCAGGGGAATCGGGCCTTGGGCCTCGCCGCACCGCTCACCAATAGTCAGAAGTTATGGCGGTGCATCTTTCCGTGTATTGGCGAAAAGTTCATTCTCATTTGCCTATTTGGTGAGTGGGTGCGGCCTGCTGGGTCCTCCCTGAACCCCGTGACAAGTGCACTGCTGGTAGTGCCATCGACCCCTGGGGCCTCGCCAGTAGTGTGACGAGTTCGCTCTGTTCTTTGCCGCCGGATCCACCTCTGCTCCCACTTCACGTGCTCGTCAGGTCTTTGTCCAGTCTGGTTCTGGCGCCAAGGTGCTGGGAACTGCCCGCACCACCGGCCAAATGTGCGAAGCGGAGGAGAAACAGCCGCCAAAAACTCTGGTCGTTATGATCACGTTTGGTCAGACGTGGGGTGAGAACATCATGAGCTTCTCCGGTAGTGGCGACCCACTTGACGAAAGCGAACCGCAGGCCACGAGACGGGGAAGGATCAGCCGGAGGCTGCTCACACCCGCCAAACCACCATCATGCCGATGCTGTTCACACCGTCGCCGCCGGCTACCCCTCTTTTCCTAGGAGGCTAGGAACAAACCGCACCCTGATTATGACTGCACTGAACCAGGAAAGATAGCTTCAATACAGTTACTATCTGTATCCTCTATGTTCGAGAGAAGACGGATACGCTAGGTCAACAGATAAAGGGCCTCGCCACACCACCGTCGAAACGAATACATCTTCCCGCAGAAAAGGGCAAGATGCCTCCGTTGCTATGAATAGCGACGGATGCATCTTATCACTTTTCTGCCACAGATGCATTGGTTCTCTTTTTTTTTGTTTTTGTTTTTTTTTAACTCGTCTATATCTTTTTTTTTGTTTTTGTTTTTTTTTAACTCGTCTATATTCTATGTATTTTTTTTTATTTTTTATTTTTTGGAAAGCTTTCAACTTTATTATAATAATCCAATGGGATGAGGCGGGGGACCTCACAATTCAACCCGGAATCCTGGCAGCCTCAGCCAGTTTCTCTTTTGCTAAAAAAAATTGACAATCTTCATACTCTCCCTCTATCCACCAACTGGAAACCGGGTCCAGAGTCCCATTCCTTCATGCTTTCCAAAAATTAATCCTTAAAGCTCAAGGTAAAAACGGGCTATCCAAACARTGAAAGCTCAAAAATTCTTAATGTCCACAGTTCCCTGTGACTGACCTGAAGGAGACCTACACATAAAATCTCTCTCTTAACTCCTCCTCCAACCAGTCCGTACTTGCAATTTGAAGGGAATTACTCCCAATTATTAACCCTGAAATGCCTTACATTCTCAGTGCCACCACCGGAGATTTATAGGACTTAGCCTAAATCAACTATTCTCCTATCCTTTCCGTCAAGCAGCAAGTCAATCCGGGCGCAACCACTTTGCCAGTACCACCTTTTTCTCCTTGGTAACTGCTGCCAGTTGGTTTCCCCGTGCCCACGTCCTCAGAAACCAGATATACCCCTTCTTCTTACTGCTAAAGGCAGTTTGCCAGTCCACCTGTATCATTCTGCGAATATTAACTCGCACCTGCTGTTGTTGTTCTTGGACTGAAACGACGGGCTTACAAAAAACAGTCGCATTTCTGGCTCTCCAAATTTCCTGAAACATCACTCCTCTGCAGACAAAAGCGACACACCCCCACCCATCCCTCAGTGAGGAAATTGGTACTGGGGGAATGCCATACAGTAGCCAATCCTCTGTCCAAGGCCATAACGGTCATGTAATCAAGTTCCAATGGTGGATCCACCAGATCCACATTTTTTATGCCAGCCGGCACAATCTCCACAAATGGGCATTGGATTCCCAACCCCAATTGCACCTGCTGCACATAATGGGAATTTCCATTCCCCTTTGTGCCAACCACAGCGCCGAAGCAATCACCATTAAGGCTTGGAGCCATAATAGGCTCGCCATTTTCTGAGAAGGTAACAGCAGCAGAGCCTGCCAAAACGGAGTCCAATCCAGTCCCCTAGTCAATCCATTATTTGCTTTCTCCAATCTTCTATTGGCTAAGTGAGACGGAAGGGTCTTAACCGCAGATTGCAGACATCTTGTCCCTGTTCTTGTCTTATATGCTACCAGCGGAACGAGCTCTTGGCCGGGCGGTTCCCACCTTTTCGCCATCGGTTCCAATCTAAAAAGTTCGGCTTTTCCCAACAATCTCGCCTGTTTGGCATCTCTTCCCAACCAGACCCCTGCTTCCTGAAGATCTTTCGTTGTCTTCACCCTCCTATCTGATAGGCAAACTAAGGTCCTTCCTTCATTGTAGTCTCTATGTGACTGTTGTGAGATCCTCCATTCCTGGACCAGCATACCCTCCTTCAAATCTGGACCCAATATCCTCCAAAGTACTGCTGAGTCATTTTCTGAATATACCCAGGTATCTACCCCGTGCTCTGCGTCCTTCATAATGCAGCGACACCAATCCTTTGGGATTGCCTTTTTGAACACTTTCCAAATTCCTTTTCAGATTTCTGAGTCGTGGGAGTTTCCTTCGCAATTCTTCTTCAGTCTTTCAATCCTCTCTCTCCTCATCCCATATATGCTTGACTTGTAATACCCCCCTCTGGATCCAAGATCTTCCAAAGCATCCTGGTCCATTCTTTAGCCCAAAAGGCTCACCGTTCTCCTGGAGTATGAAGTTATTCTCAAATAACAATTGATTCAGTATTTCCATTTTTGATGTCGGGCGGTTRAAGGTACACGGTAGCAACTTATGCCAGGCCTGAAGTATATCCCTCCAGAGTCGGGATTGGGGTCTTTTGTTGGCAAATGAGGGAAGAAGAAGACAAAKCCAGACATCCCTCCCATCAGCCATATCCCACTCTTTGCCCAGTATGTACTCCGCTAATCTGATCCAAAGTTTTGAAGGGTTATCAAACATTGCTTTTACTGGYCATTTRGCCAGCAAGGCCTCGTTTTGCTGACGGGGGTCTAGGATTCCCAATCCYCCTTGTTTTCGTGGAAGCGCTATCGTTTCTCATGCCACCTTCGTGAGGAATCCTTGCCCCTCGTCTGCATCTGGTTTCCATATGTATTTGGCTGCGCATCTTTTGATCTGCGTGTATGCAGTGTCTCCCAGTTTTCTAATCGAGAGGGGGAACCATAACTGAGAAAGTCCCGCAGCCGACACTACCAAGGCTYTTCCCATTAGAGAGAGYTTATRGTTGCRTTGCCACTTGTGGATTCTCGATATAACCTTGTCTGCCAAAAGATTGTCTTGTGCTGCCGAACAATCTGCCAAAGATACTTGAACTCCCAGAAAGCGCTCTGAGTTTTCAGTCGGGATCTGACGCAAACCCCAATCCACTTTCAAAATATAAATATCAGGCAAGAAGTACACGGATTTTTGCCAATTTATAGATGCCTCAGATAATACACAATAGCTATCTATTACATTCTTTAATTCAATCAGTGTTGATTTCTTATTCTCACAAGCCACAGTCAAATCATCTGCCAACGCCCCCCCCCTTCCATTCTAACGTGGGGGTTAGAGACATGCCTGTTATCTTAGGATTAAATCTAATATTATCCAGAAGAATTTCTAGTTGTAGCACAAAAAGAAGCGGGGTTAGTGGACACCCCTGTCGAAGAGATCGGGTCAACTAAAAATCCTCAGACAGCTTCCCATTTACCATCACTATTGAGAAGGTCTGGGAGTACATTGCCTTCACCCAGGTACAAAAGCCCGTGTCGAATCCCATTTTAACCAATGTGGTATGGACAAAGGCCCAACCCACTTTGTCGTAGGTTTTTTCCATGTCTAAAAGTAGGACCGCCACTTCTCTTTTTTCTTTGCTTATTATCTCCAAGGCCTGTACCGTCATCAAAATATTCTCAAAAATTGATCTTCCCTTTACAAACGCCCCCTGTTCCCAGCCCACTAATTCGGGGAGCACGTCCGCTAGTCTGAGAGTCAAGGCTTTCGCCAGGATTTTATATACCACATTTAGAACTGATATTGGCCTATAATTCCTAACATCTTTCTTGTCCCCCTTCTTATACAGTAGTGAAATCACCCCTTTCACATAACTTTTAGACAAAGAACCTGTAGTAAGGGCTTTGTTGTAAACTTGACACAAGAAGGGCGAGAACGTCTCCCATGAACACAGGAATAGTTCTAGTGGCAGCCCGTCCACCCCGGGACATTTCCCCTTCGCCATCCTCTTGACTGCTCTGTGTAATTCCCTTTCAGTCAGAGGGGCATCCAGTTGGGTCCTAATGGATCCTTGAATGTGAACTCGTGATCTGTTCCAGAAGTCTGAAACCTCTGACAGGTCTAAGTCGAACTCATCGAAAGGACGCCACGTCGAAACTATGTCCCTAAAATAATCTAGGGCATACTGGCATAAATCAGACGTCTCTGTCGCTGTAGGGCAGTTTAATGCAAAGGGGTGGGACAGCTCCCTTATCAGGGGTTTGGTTTGTCTGAGTATAAGCAACCGAAAAATTATTCTAGTCATTTTGTCATACCCAATAATTCCTCTCAATTTAAGTCATTCCAACCATTCCGTTTGTTTCTGTGTTTCTACCTTTTCCAGTTGAATCAAAGCTTCCTTTCTCCTTTTTGTCCAATAGTAGTCAGAAAAGGGGTCGATGCCCATCTTTGCCTCCGCTTCCTCTATAGTACTACGGAGCTTCACTTCCTCCCAGTTTCTGTAGGCTGCTTTTAAACGTGAAAATTCTATCAAGGCGTAACGGATAATGTTCAGTCCGGTCTCTGCCCATGTTTCCTCATTATCAAATAAATCCTTAACCTTGAGCCACTTCTCCATCTGATCTGATACCCAAGTCGGTATTCCCTTGTCTTTCAGGTTATTGATATTCAATCTGAAGGGGGGTCTTACCTGGGTTACCAAATCTTTAATAATTACGTCCATAAAGATGGGGTAATGGTCTGAAAGGTAAGATATTTTATATTCTGAGGAGCTACATCTATCCCATAGCACTCCCCTCGCCACTCTGTAATCCAATCCCCTCCTTGGAATGGGGAAGCGAGGGGTGGATCTGGGGTCGTGCCACGTGTATCCATGTTCCTCTGGGTTTAGTGTTCTATAAGTGTGTATTAAGCCCTGTGACTGAAAAAAGGACATTAGCAATGAGGAATCTGCTCTCAAAGGGGTGACCCTTGGGGAGTCCAATCCTGGGTTAAAAATAGTATTCCAATCCCCCAAGATTAAGAATAGTATTCCAATCCCCCAAGATCGTCAGTTTTACCCACACCAGACGGCCTGCGGGATCGCTATACTGGTCCAGAATAGTACATTCCACATCCTGATGAATTAAAACCGTTTTACCCTCCCTGTTTTCCTCTGCGGGTGCCCGAAATTGAGGCCCCCTCCACCAATTGCTAGCTGCTAAAATCTTATCTGCATTCATTTTTGTTTCTTGTAGGCATAAGATCTGTACCGAGTTTGAATGAACCCAAGAGAGAATTCTTTGCCTTTTATTTCGGTAGAAAGTGTCACACAAGCCTTTGACATTCCAACTTGCGATTCGAATTCTATTCGGTAGATTCATTATCTGGGTCATTCTGAGCACTGGGCGCCTTCCTTCCAGAAGGGCTTTGAATGATATTGTTCAAGATTACCGATTGAATTTCCTGGGGAAGTCYTGTTAGACCAATCARRGAACGGAAGTGCTGGCCAGCAGYCGTAGAAAGAAGGTCAGTCCTTACCAACCAGTCATATATYATTGTCGCCGTATGGTCTCCCATCAGCTGAATGGACTCCAGGGCTTCCCTATTTGGAGTGGTGAAAGCCTGGAGGGGATACCAAAGCATCCTCCCCTTACACCACTCTTCGAACTCTTTACTCGCCGATTTTATACCCAAGAACAYAATGTGTAACAATGTCTTTCGTTGTCCCGGAAGAGACACTATGTGCCTGCCCATTTTTAACGATGGGATTGGTGCACATGTAGCCGTACCATTCAGGATTTTTTCTTCAACCAGCTTCAACAACTGTTCATGTCCTGCATCCTTTGACATGGCAACCGCGGACAGACTCAAAAAGTCCGTATTCGAGCGTTGCAGCATAACGAGCGGACTGTGCAGGGTATATGAGCAGATGAGCGGGATACCATATTCTTTAATATCGCCCTTTTCTTTATCAAGTCTGCCCAGGGTAACCATGGGAGCAGCGAAAGGGAGGGTTTTTTTTGCTGATGATCCTGGCTTACCTCGTTTTTTTTAGGAAGCCATTATTTCAGCTTTGTCCATACAAGCATTCCCTTCCCTCTGCTCATCCATTGTGGATACTGCCGTGTTATCTCCTACCCTGGCCTTTTTGCATGGAGTGGATTGTCCGTTATTAAATATATCCCCTTCTTTAACAAGCAATCCTGGAACAGCAAAGTCCAGGTCCTCCTCCAATAATCTCCCACCTTCTTCCTTTCCCTCCTCCTTCGTGAGGTATCCCCCAGAATCGTGGTCCCCCTCCTCCCTGTATGGTGAGGGATCCTCCGTCAATTCTACATCTTCCTCCTTACCCTGGGGGGGGTTAGTTGGCTTAGCCTGGACCTCCTTTTCCTTTGCTTTATCTTTGTTTGGTTTCCCTTTTGGACCATGGAAGACAAAAGGTTCAGCTAATGGAACGTCTATGAACTTGTTCCCTTACTTCCATCCTGCTGCCCACCCTCTTTCTGGATTTCCTCACTAGAGTTGGCCTTATGAGCCTCTTCCCAGTCTATGTCTGACTTTTTTTGCTCCTGAACCAAATTCCCTTCGTCTTCCACACGTATGTCTCTTTCCCTTTCCAACTTTTCTGCTTCCTCCTCTTTTCGTTCACTTTCTCTCTTCAACTCCTGCTCCTTTCTCACTTCCTCCTCTCTTTCCCTTTCAGCCACCTTCCTTGCCTCCTCTTCCCTTTCCTTAGCCTCCCGCCGAACCCTTTCCTCCTCCCTCAATCTTTCCTCACTTTTTTTTTCCTCCCTCAGTCTTTCCTCCCTCAGTCTGACATGGCAACCGCTCTTGCACAAAGGCAGAGCGCCAAGCTGCCACCGACCCGCCACTTGGCGCGAACCGAGCGAAGTCTCTGCCGGTAAAAGGAAAAAGCTTGTGTGCGATACGCGCCCAGCGCCCAGCCATGCTACCGCCGAATGCGGTCGAATGAATAGTGACCTCGCTGTATCTCGACAGAAATGGATAGTGGCATTCGAAATCCTCGATCAGTCGAACGTTTTTTTTTTTTTTCCGAGTGCTTCAAATGAATGGAGATCATGATAGGGCCTCCCCACATAAAGACAGTATTTGGACCTCGCTACACCACTCCCTACTTTGGAAAATTTTCAGGAGTGCTCCGGGAAGTGAAAACCTGCTTGGGGGTCGCCATAGCCCTAACACATGGTTTCGAGGCGGATGAGGGGACCATGGAATAGCGAGAGCCTGAGAAGGGAGGCATCGGGCAGGGACAAGGGAAGGGGTGGGGGATGACGGAAGGAGGTCATGCGCTCCAAAGTGTAGGAGTGGAAGACAGGAGGAACCCGCCAACCTCAGGTGGACAGAGACTAAGGGGGCAAAGGGAAGGGTAAGAGGGAGAGGGAAGTGGAGGAGGCAGGGACTGCAATAAAAGGAAAATCCCGGCACGAGGGAATTGCCAACAATAATTGGACGATGTGGGCAAAGGACCTTGATGTTGGAGTTACGTCTCCCCTCCAAGGGAAGGTAATCGCTCTCCTCTCCCCCTTTCACTCGGGCTAAGAGATGAAAGGTGATAAAGGCTGACCTATTCTGTTTATGGAGGCTTCACTATATACGATTATAATTCTTTAGATTCTCTTTTAATTATTATTGTTGATGCTCTTTCGTTTGCTTTTAAGAGTTGACCCCGATCTGTGCCCCTGAGTCTTCTACCATGGTTGACTCGGCAGAGACAGATCCCCCCCCCACTATAAGCCCGGAAGAGAGAAAGAGAATTCAGGATCTTATCGGAAAATGCTACAACGAAGGCCTCCTACCGGAGGACCTCATCTCAGACCATGTGGAGGTGGGGGAGGATTATGCACGAGTAGTCGTTAACCCTGCATATTTCGAAATTCAAGAGGAATGGCTCAACGAAAATGCAGTGTCGATATTTTTTGAAAATGACTCGAAGTCGTTGCCGGTGGCAGTCAAAATTCGACTAGTTGGTAGATACAAAAATGCCTGGGCAACGGGTGAAACAATTATTGCCCCACCAAAAAGGGGGATTTTCCACAATGAAGGGTTCAACCTAGTCACGTATGTGGCCTCAACCAAGGAAATATCTACTTGGTTGTTGAGGAAAAAGATAACATCGAACTGGATGGGAAAAAATACTCCATCTCCTTCCGCCCTTGGATGAATGAACAACAACTTTACGACTGGCAGGAGGCGGCACGTTGGTACTTATGGGTAAGATGCATGTTTGTGCCAGTAGCAGCTTTGCCGTACTTGGCTTCAGCTGTTACCAAAGCATTTGGCAATATCTTGAAGAGGTACGAGACCTTTGCGGATTCGATGTCACCCGAGCTCGTTACTATACGATTCGATCTAGAACCTGCCGCCCGGCCCCATTATAAACCGTACCTGATCATAGACATGGAAAGGGGAGGGTACGTGGAAATTGAGGTGATTCACGCTCACACACCATGGTGTCTAGCTTGTCCTCAATACTTCCACTCAGAAAAAGATGAGTTGTGACACCCAACCTCACGCCCAGCGCGGCTTCCTGATCGGAGTGGGATGTGGGCCTGGAAGTGCGAAAAAGGAGTGTGCCAAGGATTTTTGGGGAAAGTGGGGGAGTCTTAAGGGTATGAATGCAATTGGGCGAGTGTGCGCGAGGGACTCACGGCCCGATGGGGCCGGGGTACGGTGGGCAACGGTTAACGGGGAACTCCCTCCGCGGTGGAGGCGGTCCCGAAAAGTTAGGCCGTCGGGGACGGCCACGTGGTGCAGGCCGCCGCGTACCTGGGTTGGGCCTTTAGAATTCCGGAGTCCTCTGTTCGCCGCTGTGACGAACCACTTTCTGTAACGCGCGATTTTCTGTGCGGTTGCAACGAGGGGTCCTAAGCTCGGAAGATTGGGTCACTTTCGGGAAATCGGGATCGGTGGAAAATTGCATCAGTACCCTTGCTTCTTCGTTTTTTTTCGTCGCTTCTTCGGGGCTGGGTGTGTCCTGGGACGGCCGGTTGAATGATTGGTCGGATGGATGTCTGGCGCCCCACCGCGCGCGCGATTAATAAATGTTGACGTTGTTTCTTTCGTTTCGGTTTCGATCTTTTGGGTGCGGACATCGCGCGTGAAAGCACAGATCAACATTCCAGCCCGAATGGGAGGAGACGCCCATCATTGGTATAGTACCTATGTATGGGTGGATCTTCCGACCTTCAAACGGGATTTCATGAATCAATTTGATTGTCCACCCTGAGCAAGCGCTGTACATGATCAAAGACCGAGTGCAAAAACCGCTCGAATCCGTCGCGGAATATCGAAACCGGTTCTACCGAATGTTCGTAAAAACTGAGCGAGGCGAGCAAGTAGGGAGACATCTGTTCATTGATGGACTCCGCAGTCGGACAATAAGGGCTAAGTTGCGGAAGCAGTTTTCCCCCATCACCCATACGCTACAACAAATTATGGTTGCTGCGGAAGAAATGGAACGAAAGTTCGCAGCGAACTTTCTGGAAGGAGAAGGTTACCCTAGAGACGGAGACTCGACCGAGCTCGCTCGAGCAAGAGCCGAGCTGGCTGCTTTACAGAACAAATTTAAAAACATGGGGTTTGTATCAGGACCTGTCACCTATATGGAGCAGATAGGCCCGAAACGGGTAATCCTAAGTGAGACTCCGAGCATCTCTGCTCCTATGATGCCCCCGCCCGTCAGAACATTACCTCCGCCACCGGTAGAGGCTCCCGTACGATCGAACGAATCAACGGTCATTTTTGAACTAACCAAAACCTTGATTAGTTTGATCCAAGAGAGCAAAAAGGAGCAGCGAGAGCACAATGCTCGGCTGGAAGCTATGATGAGGAACATGCGACCCATCGCAGTGCATGCCCCTCCGATGCAGCAAGGATTAGCCCCGACCCCTGCTCTCGGGGGAGCTGCGAATAATCTAAATGTTTGTTACGCTTGTCATCAGCCCAGACATCTAGCCAGAGATTGCCCCCACCGACCCCCACAACAGCGGATCGGAGCCGCACCTATGGTTGCGGCTTCGATCGCCAACGGGCCTGGACAAGTCGGGGTGCCCAACGGAGGCGTGGGGAGGGCTGAACCGCGTTATGGAGGGCTGAACCACGTTAGGGAGGTCTGAGTAGTTCGAAAACGAACTACTCAGATCTTCCCCCATAAGAATTTCCGGGCCTGCGCGCGGTCCGAAAAACATTTGCACGCCCAAACTTCGATTTTCCACAGGTAGACCCTTGGGCCTAATACCCCCCCCCGGAACTTTTTTTTCTTTTTTTTTTTTTCTTTTCTCGACCCCTCATTTTGCCCATGCACCACATGCTGGCGCGTGCCAGCTGCGCGGTGCGCTCTTCGCTGCACCTGCCGCAACACCGCGCACGGCATGCGCCGCAAGTATGATCTGGACCTGTCCGGACTGTCCGGTGATCTGGGCACTACTGGACAGCTGGACATCACCGGGCCCGGACAGTCCAGACCGGTGTCAGGGGGTGCAAAATGTCCGGACCGGAAAAAGAAAAAAAAAGAAAAAAACAAGGGGGTGGGTGGGTGGTTGGGGGTGTTGGCAAGCACTCACCAGCTTCACACTTTGTAGTTCAGGCAGCAGAGCACCTGTCCTGCCCGGCGGGCGACATCTCAAAACGGCCGCTTTGAAATTGCTTGGGCCTGTGTGGAACCCGCCACCCCGAAAACCTGCAATGTCTTGTTTTCGGGCCTCTAGGCCCTGTCCGGCGGGGTGAAACGACACTGAAAAATCACCCCGTTATTTTTTAAGGGGCGGCCAGGACCCGAAAAATGTCCTGGGCCGCCCCTTTTCTTTTTTTGATTTTTGTCGTGGGGGCCTCCATCCAGACATCATGGACCGGACACCGGACCCGGACATGTTGTTCCGGACTTTCTGGAACCCGGTCCGGACGTCCGGTCAGTTACCATGCTTCTTTCACTTTTGGTTTTGATTCTTTGCTCATTGGTTGTTGGCTTTGGTTGCCTCGGAGCGATGAATAGCACCTTATTTGATTGCGTGGCTTTTTTCATTTTTCGTTTTCGTTCCTTCCCTCCTTGCCCCTCTTCAGTTGTTGCTGAATGCAAAAATGCTTGGGATTGTGCAGGTGAAGCTTTACGAAGCAGCGGATGATGTTGCAGACACATTTGAGAAGCAACAAGATGTGAGCTTAGTGGACGACAAATATGGGCTATTGCTGATGAAAGTTTTTATAAGGATGCCAAATGGAAGGGCGCCGGAGGATTTTTGTTGGAGTCAATTTGCTACCGTACGAATCCTTGGGATTTGTCCCAAGCAGCAGGAGGAACACCAGCAGAAGCAGGAGGGGCGGGGGCAGAACAGAAAAACCGACGTGGCAAGGTACCTCAGTGAAGTAACCCGGTCATTCATTGTTATCATTGTCCTCGTCATCAACTGGCCTGCCATCATCGGAAATGAAGAGATTTGAGAAGGAAACAGAAATGAGGACACCGGACCATCCTCTTTTCCTGAATTGTCAGTCTTTGTCATCATCGCCATGCCCATCAGAGATGGAGAGATTTCAGAAGGAAACMGAAYTGTACTTCATCCTTGGTGTCTATCCTAGTGCCTGTTCTACTAAGATGAAGGGGGCATATCGAAAGGTGAGTCGAGGCCCTTTTTTTTTTTAGTTAACACTATAATTTAATGGCTTCAAACATTTGATTTATTTTTTCTAACCTTTTCAAAAGTTTTCATCTTGTTTTTTTTTTTTAATTTTTCATGCATTCCTTTTTGTTTTTGAGATATTCTGTAATACGAAATGTGAATCGGTTTATTATTAATTTAGTATTATATTGAGAAGGCTTTAAAGATAAACTAGTCAACCATATCATGTGGCATTTCTTTTGAAAAAGAAATGCAAGCTCAGCTTTTTTGTGGGTGTGTACGACAAGGCTGTGCTTTATATCAGCCTAATGTATCACTATTTGTAAGTTCCTRATCGTGCATCATGAACTCCAGTTCYGTAGGAGGTAGTTCTTGTATCGCAAGGGTTTCTTTTGGTTCCATCCAAGATGAAAGCRATTTGGGGTACCAACTGGCCTAGCCGAGTCGGTGCACCCATGAACTGTTGAAATACAGACCCAAGTTCGAATCCGGAGCCAGTCAGATGAACAAAATAAAATGATTGTGAATAAACTAGGGCCAGTCAGTTCAATGATGATATCTCAAGGTCATTGCCCCTTGGAAAAAAATGTCGATCTGGGCTTGCCCCACTGACAGAGTGAATGTTATAATTGGGAGAACTAACCACATCAAAGGACCGTTGATCCCAACCGAGTTGTTTTGGGCACCCGGGCAACTCGATTTTCACCAAAAAATCCTAGGAAGATTTTCACACCCGGGCTCACACCCGGGCAAGGAAATAGGGTTTAGCCTTCTGATGTGTCGGTGAAACTCCGACGAATCAGTTTGTCACAGCCCCTCATTTGTTGTCCTTTTCTCCATCTCTGCCTAAGGTTTTACCAGACAGCTCTGTTTTTCCATGATTTGTGTTTTTTTTTTTTTTTTTAAAGTTTTGCCCTAGGCTACGAAAGTCGCCCGCCCGGACTC